AAATAAGACATAAAATATTGGAGAGGTGACAACGATTCGATTGCGACAACTGAAAACCATCAGTAGGGGTTGTGTGAGGAAGATTTAAATTCAATATCAGTGATGGCGATACCGATTAGGCAAAAAATTGTCTAACAACAATTGTGTCTTTGGTCAAGCAATGGTGGCGGTGGCTTTGGTTGTATTTTTTGTGGTTTGACTATGGATAAATAAACAATAGTGGTCAGGCAATGTCAGGTGCTAGGAGACTGTCATCTGGCTATGATTGTAGTGACAATGATGATTCAATGACAATGGGTGTGGTTTAGCAGCATCGATTAGATGACGAAAGTATGGAGGCTGCAACAGCTAGACAACAATGGTCAGGAGGTAGCATCAGCCGTTAGATGATGATCAAGTAACAAAAGTAGTGGTGGCAATAGCGTAGTTTGCCAAACTATTGTTGTGGGGGTCTAGCAGCATCAGCTTGGCATGGTAGTCTGACGTTGAAGGTGTATCGCGAAGGCGGATGTGTTGAAAAAATGTTGGTGATCCTGTGACAGTGGTTCCACGATGACAATTGTGGTTCAACAATGAAGGCAGCACCACGATAGTGGTTTGATGATGGTAGAGGTGGGTTGTCAGTGATGGCATTGGTCTAACGACAATAGCAATGTCAGCTTAGCTATAATGGTTCAACAACAACAATGACCAAATAATGGTGGTCAAGAGATGATGATGATTGTGATGGCATTAGCTGGGCAACGATAGTCCAACAAGCATTGTTGTATTCCAATAACACTGGTGATCAAGTGACAGTGGTCCAACGATGGCAACAATGGTGGTGTTGGTATGATAACAACATTCAAATGATGGGGACAATAGGCAGGTGAATGTGGTCCGTTGACAACAATGGCTTAGTGATGACAACAACGACAATCAAGCGACGGTGGTTTAATGATGGTAATAATAGCGGATGCAGCTACCATGTGATAGTGTTTAGGTGTTAACGGTGGAAATAGGGTGAATATAGTTTGACGATGATTGTGGCAAGGTGACAGTGATTGTGGCGGCCCAACGACAACGGGGATTGGGCAATGATGTTCTAGTGAATGCAGAGTTAACCACGGGGTGATAATGGCCTAGCAACAATGATAGCAGGGGACAGGTGATGGTGGTTCGACAACAACAACGACTAGTTGGTGATGGTCTATAGTTTCACTGGTGGCGACAATGGAGGTGACGAGGTGATGGCGGCGGTGATGGAAGCAGCCAAGAGAAATTGGTCTAAAGCCTAAGGTGATCGGGAGACTATAGTTTGACAGTGGTGTCAATGATAATAATGAAGCTTGTCAAAATCGTGGTCTAACACGACGACAAGGGCTAGCTAATAGTGGTTTGATGATGGTGGCAATGACATGGGTGGTTGTTTGGTAGTGACAACAGAGGTTGGGTGACGGTGATCAAGCAACAACTGCAATCTGATGATGATGGTCTAGCGGTGGCGGAGTCCGAGAGTCATCACGATCTTGGAGTCCCCTTCATACTTTTTATCTTGACCCAACCCCAATTCATGAAGAGAACGGAAGTTTATGTATATATTTTGAGAGTGGCCTCCCTCATAAATACTACATTAAACTGGACAACTCCATCAGACGCTTTATCAGACGACCAAAGTGATTTTTTTGAACGAATATAATTTTAAGAATTTTTTAATACCTTAATATCATGGAAATTATGCGATCTTTCGCCCGTCAAATTCATCTCGTCAAGCCCGATTTGATTAAAGTTTTATTAGATTTGGAGATAATTTGAACTCTAAGCATGTTCCAGAATTGTCCAGGCAATTTCATAAGTTTTTTTTTTTTTTTTTTTTTTTTTTTT